CCCGGACAGCGTCAGACAGAGACTCGACCGAGACTCGCGTTCCCACGCGGAAAATGGCTCGCCTCATCGATGGTCCGACAGGCCGCACCGGAACGAACGGACCGCACGGTAAAAACACATCAAGTCTGGAAAACAAGCCCCCCTCCTGTACTACCCTCACAAAAAAGGCCTCCCGCCCTACCCCACCCCATTGTAGACTTCATGCCCCTTCTTAAGCCGTTACTGCTCTTTGTTGAAAGCCTAGGTACGAAGTCTTTCTTCGTAGAGAACGATGATCCCGAGGGGGTATTCACTCCCGTAATACCCTGTACACCCCACATGGGTATTACACGGTATTACTTGTAATGTAATACCGAAAAATAACACAATATGCTATAAAGTGGCAAAATTTTGCGTGTAAAACCGGCGTAATACCCGGTAATACCTCGTAATTTGGTGTAATACCGAGTACTCTGTACAAGTTTTATGGTAGTGAATACACCCCCTCGGATGATCCCATCAATCCAATCCAACAGATCAGAAATATCCAATCACACCGGTCAACCGGTCAGACCCCGGCCCGGGCAGACTAAACAGAGGTGTCGGAGCCTTGCATTGAGTCGCACGTGTGACGTGTGGGGAGCAGTGGGGCAAGGCGCATGTCACCCTCATGCTCCTTCCGGTCGGCAGGCAGACGCGTCTAACCCACTCGCCTCCTACGATACCGGAAGTGGCTCCGACGCCGTCCGGGTTGCTGTTGTCGCGGCCGGCCTTGAGTCTGCCTCGAGGCTTCCCACTAGAGGTGAAAATGGACACTAGGAATACCCCCAGCATACCCGAAGGCCCGTGTCTGCACAATAAACCATTCCGGTAAAGCTGAAAGCCAGCGGAAGTGGAATGCAGGCAACAAGATGACAGAAGTCACCACGTCAAAGAATATTACTGATTTCCGTTTCGTTGTCTCGCGCATTGTTCTTCTGTTCACCTTTACCGGAATGTTTCACTTGATGCCAATCGGAGCACGCCCAGAAATCCGTCTGTATGTCCGTCCTTACGAATGCTTAACCCCTCCCCCCCCCAAATCCAATCGCGCACCTCGACCCTCGACTGGCGGAAAGCACGTTAAAAGAAAACAGAGTGTTGGCGGTGGCGTGCGGTACCGGAAACGTGTAGGTGCTGAGCTGCGCCAGGTGGAACACGGCGGTGGCGACGGCGGCCATGACGCACCAGCGCAGCGGCAGCGGCAGCATGGCGTACGTCACGAACACGATGAAGAGCACGTACCACACCAAGTCATCCTTCTGGTAGAAGCCCAGGCCCTGGCCGAAGAAACCTGCAACAAGGTTGAGGCGAGGTCAGTCCTGGGGATGGGTAGTTTACGCCGCGAGAGGAAGTAAGGGGTTGAGGGGGAGGGGCGCGGAAGGGGGAGTCGAGTCACTCAGTCAGCACTAACGACATGGAGTACTCTCATGCTAACGAGCAGCCTATTGAAGCATGAACTACACTCGTCCTGGAGTCTGGTCCTGCCTTGCTCGACGAGTAGTTGTAGATGCTCATCAAGATTACAAACTCTATCACCCCCCTCTCTCCAACCACTTGGCCAAAACCGTCCGTTGTTTGAGCCGACCGGACATGAACGGGAGTCGCATCTTTCGAAACCGGTGGAGAAATGTCGTTCCCGCGGATTTTTATGAGTTTTTCAGAGTTTTTCACTCCATACTCTGTGGGGGCTTTACTTTTCACGCGTTTTTCCCAACATCGCGCACCTTTCCAAGAGGAGCCAAAGCCGCAAAGCTCTGAGCGGCGCTGTTGCTGCTAAATGCGACTGGGGGGCGGAAAGCGCCCCGCCGCCACCCGGCCACTCCCCGTGGCGCCTCACCTCACGGCATGCAACCGCTGAGGCGTGGCGTGGCGGGGCGTGGCGTGGCGTGGCGGGGCTGGGGGTGGGGCGCCAGCGGCTTGAAGAGCCCCCGCTGTCCAGGCCAAGGAGAGGAGGTACACATCCGGCTCGGCCCCGCGGCGGCGTCCAGGCCGTAAAGAAGAGGCTCGTCCGAGTGGCCTTGTCGGCGAGAGAGTGAAAGAGAGAGGGAGAGAGAGAGAAAGTAGTGCGGGTAGAATTGAGAAGGAGAAATGGTGAGATCCGTCGGCCTAGCAGCGGCAGAGACAAGGAGCGACGACCAAGCGGGTTGGACGGCGGCAGCTTGAAAAGACCTCGACGACACCTCCTCCTTGTGTGACTTTCCTTTCCCTGTCTCGGAGTGCAACACTCAACTCCCAGCCCTTCCCCTCCCTCGGAGGGGGTTGGGTTCGCCCACTGCCGCCGTTGCCCCCGGGCCCGTTCCTTCCCGCATCCCTCTTTCAAGCCTCTTTCCCGCGTCCTCTTTCTCTCTCACTCGCTCTCTCACACACACACAACTCTCTCCCAGCTCTTTTCATCCTTTCTCTACAGCACGTTCTTTCCCCGATTCATTCGCGATTTAATGAAATGTCACCTCGGCGTTGCTCATACAGGCGACTCCACCCCAGGTCGGCCCACGGGCGGGCAGGGCAGGCGGGCCCCACCTCCTACACAGGCCGACAGCGTGAGGGGCGAAGCGCTGCGGTGAAAGAAACGAGGGTGGGGGAAAGGAAGGGTCGGGCCTGCGGTAGCTCGAGTAATTAGTAATTACGCTCCTACGCCCCCCCCTC